CTTTCCCTTTCACCTTTTCTGCTACTCCCGATTGTACGCGAACTCGATCGAATTCTAGATTGTAGTTTTCTGATGATACGATACGCACATCTTAGAGCTCGCGAATTGATCTTTACAAATTGACTCATTTAGTTAGTGTAAAAGCCTACTGATGTCGATTTGCTTTAATTCTAGTAATTCAATTACTTTCTATAAAGGTAATAAAAACTTCTTAAATTTTATAAGGATATGATATATACATATATATTACAAAAATATATACCTCTACTTTCTTCGATCTCTCTTAAATTATGTCCCAGAATTAGAAATTTGAAATAACATAAATATCCCATTACGAAGTATGTAGTGCAACGTAGCTAAGTATAAAAAGATCAAACTCTTAATTAGCGCCGGTGCTTTTTAATTTATCTCCCCGTTGTCATAGTCAAGAATAAAAAACCAAAGTGGCCGGCTCTCTAATCTCTGGTCCCATGGTATGCCTGGAGTACAGTCAAAGCTCTTTATTCGCGAAGGATAAATTCCGCCAAAATGCCGCGATAATGGGATGGTAAAATGTAAATGGCAGTATAGGTGTATGCGTTCCGAGAAAATTAAAAATTAAAAAAAATGTTATATATTAAAAAAGATGGTTTTATTTCAAATTAACAATCAAACACATAACTAATACTCAATTTTATTAAAATTGCAACAAATTACTTAAATATTATTAGACGGTTGATCAGAAATTGGTTTTAAAAAATTGGTAATTTTTTCTTGTTTTGCGGCACTTTGCAGGCTTCTGAACTCAAGCTTATATCTTTCTTTTTAAAATCAGACTTTTCTCCATTGAGAGATCAATTTTCATGAAGAATTTACAAAGATCATTTGAAAAAGTCTTACTCTCCTTCACCTAGGTTCTTTAAGTTTAGTGTCAGTTTTTATATATAATAGAATTATAATAGAATAGAATTGAAAATTTGACCGCGAATACGGAATTTTCTTGTCGCGAATAAAAAGAGTGATTACAAATTTTTACTCCGCGAATACCGAAAACGCGAATAGTGAACCCGCGAATAACAAGCTTTGACTGTACTTAACGCGAAGCAGGATATGTTTTGATACTTTTTACCATTCTTCGAATAAGAGATAATTAATTGTTAAAGTTCGTGCTGTATATTCGATTTTTGCTAAATTTTCATCAAATTACACGGCTCTTAAGAGAAATGTAACAATTAGAGCTTGCAGCATATCGAAAAGGAAAGAAAATATCGATAATTACGTAAAGACTTTCATTTGTCAAAACTTAAATATATATTTAAAAAATATAGCAGTATTTTTCCAAGAAACAAAATTTCATATAATTGTCATATAATTTGATGAGAATTTGGCAAAAATCAAATATACAGCGCGAGAGAGAGAGAAAGAGAGAGAGAGGGAGAGAAAGAGAGAGAGAGAGAGATTCAACAATTAATTGTCTCTTATTCGAAGAATGGTAAAAAGTGTCAAGACTTATATCTTATATCTTACTTCGCAGCAGTACTTCAGGCATACCATGGGATCAGAGATTAGAGAGCTTCGGCCACTATTAATAACAGACCCTCCTGAATTTAATTAGCTTATTCTGGCATAAACGATAGTGATAATTTCGATTAGTATAAAATGGAATATCGCAATGTAGCATAAATTATACATAAGAAAAGTACCAAGAATAATATTTTATAAGATTACAAAATATATACACTCAAA